CGAAACGTATTATGTATTAGGCGCAGTTTGGCAACGGGAGCAGGGAAGGGGGCATTTTGCATCTTCGCTGCGTCACTTCCTTTTTACAGGTCTCTGTCTGGTGAAACCGGGAGACGGTAAAGAGGATCGTACTTCGCCGCTCCGCCGCGCCCGGTCATGTTCGCGGCGTTTTATTAATTCGTGTTAACCTGTAGACTGGAGTACCGAACTTCATGTAGATCCCGTCATTGTAAACAATCATGACCATTTTCGGTTTTGAATTGCCTCTTGCCGCCATCTACTACCTGTAACCAGTCATTTGCGGGCGCGACGTCGCACGCGGCGCCCACAGCGCGGCGAATCACGATCCTCTTGTCACATACCCGGTGAAACCTGTGACAGCAAGCTCGTCAAGCCACCATGGTAAAACCTGTCAACTCTTGTAAGCTCATGAAATAGCTCTCTAGATGGCTCGACACGTCGATGGGAAGTAGCAAAAGTGCAAAATGCCCCCTCTCCCGTTGCAGAACTGCCCAAATATTATTCTAGAATAAGAGAGGACTGACACAGTGTCCGGAAGCGGTTCGATGTTCTTTACAACTAGCTGGCCGACAGCTTCTCTCAGTTCGGTATAAGCAGAACGTAAGGCTTTCATTTCAGAAGAGTAAGAAACTGCATCACATTCCATCTGAGCCAAGAAAGTTCGAGTTAAATCCGTTTGAGCATCTCGAGATTTCACCTGTGAAATATAGCAACATAAAGGGTCCACGATAAATTGTTCTCAAAATCAAGCAAACCTTAGCCATCGGCGACATAGTCTGCACCTGAGCAACATTAGTGAGATGTGCACCTGCGCTACGTACAACTTTGTTCTCGTTTGAGGCCAAGTCCGATACCACTTCAGCCATACGGACATTCTAGACGAAGGGCAGTTAAGTAATATGTTGAAGACGTCTGTTATAAAAGAGGAACCAAACTGACACTTTCTTCGTAGCTTTGCAGCTGGTACTCCAAATGGCGGATCTTCTCATCTTTGCTGTTCAAGTTCGTTCCGAATTCTTTCAAGATCGCGTCGAAGTGCGGAAGATGTGTCCTGGATGGAAACGTATTTCTATAAGATCATACCACTGAACAGCACACAGTACCTGTGCAGCCGTGAGGTCCATCTTCCAGCTTTGGTGATCCCTCTGCCTTCTTTCCTGCTCTTCATCCAGTGCTACACGAAGAGCATCAAGTTTTGAGTCACGCTCCGAAACTATCTCTTTCAATGACTTGTTCTAGAAAATAAGTCGATCGCATGTATTATTAACTACATCAACGCATACCTGCAGTACTATGCTGCATGTATATGAGACATACGTACAGCCGCATCTATCGTAGCGGTTATTGGCACGATGCCAAAGGGAAACTCGTCCGAAAATATTTTCTGAGTCGCGTAAGTAAATATTTTTTGCAGGTTTTTGACGGCTTCATTTCGCCTTTTCGCTATTTTCCTCACTATATAGCACCCCTGTTACCATTTTAGACCGAATACCAAATTATCTAAACTTTGAGTCCCACCATGGTAATCAAGCTTTTCTCCCTCCAAGACCGGGCAAGCGTCAATTCGTGACAGACACTGAAAACGATGACTTGAAACTTCATAATACAATAGGCATTTTTTTCTCCAACTCTAGACTGAAGAGCGTGGTTCAGGTCCCAACAGGTTTATTTCTTACCAGTCGCATCACTTGTCCAACAAGGTTGTTAAAGGTTGAGACAATAATAGTACACGCTCCTCTCAATTTTTTCTCCGTAATCTAGTACTTACTATCTCATGAAAGCCATCTAGCCTACAAATGCTGAGGTAGTAACCATTTGTAAAAAAACAGCATGTGTCAGCTACGAACCCGTTCACCTCGCACATGCCAAGGATCTCATCCTCAAAGTGAGCGAATAGCGCATCTTTGATAGACTAGACGTACCGGATTTTCATTCAAATCAGGAGAAACATGTTAGAGGTACACTCCGCATTCATTTGATGTTCAGTCGCTTCCTTTGAATGAATCCTTCGTGCTAGCATGGAGGATGTAAAACTCCCGCGGCTCGACAATATGCAAAGAAGAGAGCTTCACCCGCTCGCGACGAGGCCACGGCTCCACCCACTGACCACCGACGCCCAACTTTCACTTCGAGCGACTGCTTAATGGTGTGGTTGTTGAACTATTGTATTTATCCATTACGAACGTTCCGGCGATTCAGGCGATAAGGAGAAAGAGGTGGCACTAGCACGAGAGAACCCTTCCCACGTCCTTGTTTCGCCATGTACGTAGAAGTGCGGTTCTAAATGGAGCACTTCGGGAGGGTTTCCCGTGCTTTTCTTCACTTTGCATTATTAGCATCTTGTCATTAGTACTTGAGCAGCACAGATCACTACTTCTGGAAGCATGACGCGCCTTCAGATCTCATCGATGTCACATATAAAATGAGCAGGTGGCGAGCAGGCAGTGAACCTGCACCAGCGCTAAATCCTCGGAGCGAAAGTGATTCTATTTGGACGATGGTCTTGACGCATGTTTTTTTTTCGAGAAATTCTTGTCTCCGCAGACGTTCAAAGCCACCTGGTACCTTCAGCCTTGATGCTATTTTTCCCGATACTACTTGAAAACGAATTTCTGACTTGCACCAATTTGCTCAAACAATCACCCACTATATAATTGCTTCGTCTGTTTGTTTGTTGGTTTGTCTACCGATCCGGTTTCTACCGAACAACCACTTGCGCGGCAGTGTGACAATTAACAGAGGCAACGGGATTTGGGACGATGACACGCGTGAAGTTGCGTCTATGAAAACTTCAGCGGTTTACTAAAATTTCTATCGGCTCCAAGAGCGGTGATGGGGGGGAAAGGATTAATGGTTGGTACAATAGGGTTGACGACATCAAAATGGAGAGACACACCCTGAAATGGGCCGGGAAATGCTAGAAAATGCGGTGCATTCCTCATAAATTGTGGTTAATCCCCGCCTGAGAGAGTTTGGAGAGTGTAAAAAAGCAGTCGCATGCGGAAGACAAATATCTGTGGATTAGTTCCATAGCTCTCTGAAGTCTGACTTTGACCCCCGCCCACAGTGGGAGGATGTGTACCTCAAAAGCTAAAGGTGTAATTTCAATAAAATAAAATCGATAGCCTCCTACAAGCCATCTATAGGCGACCGCGAAAAACGTGCAATTATCGTCCCAAGTGGTTCGAGCGCTTTAGAAGTGCAAGATACACCGCTGCGGGCGGAGCTTGATAAAAAACGGTTCCAGAGCAGTGCAGACACCGGGAAAAAGTGTATTAATGGCAGCGCTTGGTCACCGGTCATCCGTTGTGGGTGGAGGTGCACCGAGGTGGGCGGAGCCTGATTTGTAAATTCGTAAAACGCTTCCAGCGCACTACAGCCACTGGAAAAAGTGGATTAATGTCAGCGGTGGGTCACCTGTTGAGAAATACGAGGCACACCCGTTGCAGGCGTAGCGTGAGGAGAGCCGGGCGGGGTCCAACGAAAAAACTTTGAAACGTTCCAGAGCAGTCCAGACACCGGTAAAAGGTGAGCAGAGGTGTGCAAGCCGCTTGGCCATTGAAGGGTCTGAAATAGACATGCTTATTGTGCAGGTGTCGAGGTGGTAAAGGGCAGAAGTAAAAAGTACACGGAGTGCTTCGCAGGGCAGCACTATAGCAACGGGACGACACCGGGGACATGTGGACTGAAAGTCACAAGGGGTTAGTGGATGAAATGGGGCAGACATCCTCAAAATGGGCGGGACGTACTGGCGGGGCGTGCTTGCTACGAGATTTTATATTTCGGACCTGAGTGACTTTAGGGATTGCAAAAAGTCGTTGGAGAAAAGAAACATACAGCGAAAGTTGAGTGTGTCTGTGGTGTATAGAGACCCGTCCACAGTGGGCTGTGCGTGCCTTCAAGCAGAGCTGCCTACTTTTACTGAGCTTCAGTGCATCGGCAGCCATGCACTTAACCACCGGTCGTCGTAAATGCATTCGATACCGGCGACGCCGAGCAGGTGGGGTTTCGTCTATCCTACTTGCCTTCGTGCGTTTAAATGCACGACAAATACCCGGCTTTCTGTCATCTCTGCACTTCATCAATGCTCCTTACCATAATGTCATGCACAGTAATAGTGAAAATAGCAGGTATGATGTTAATGGTGAAGGAGCGTTGGTTATCTGTCAGATAAAAGGAAAGCCGCATATCAGTTGGTTCATATAAACCTGTGAAAGTAGGTAAGCGCGGCCGAAAGACTGATAGAACAAACCGAATCTTTAGCTGAAGCAAGTTTGGCCTCCAGCTCCACTAAGAGCGCATCTTTCGCAGCCATTTCACGAATGAAAGCATCAGTATCCGAACGCAACTGCAAGACATCGCGCTGAACTTGCTCATTGGTCGCCAATTGAGACTGAAAAGAGCATTTTTCCAGCTATGCACTGCAGCATCTTTGGACAGTATAAGACGACCAACTTCTAAAGATTCTTTCAGCATACGTTTCTCCGCTTCGTCTGACTGCACAGTGGAAATAAGCTGATCACGTTCCTCTGCCATACCGATCAGCCTCGCCTCCATTTGCTTCAGATCTGAGCGCAAGTCCTCGGCAGAAGAGAGCGCCATGTCACGAGCTTCATGAGCCTGAAAATGAGGGGGAAGCGACTAGTGTTCACGATGCAGTTACAATATTCATGGTCTTGAGTCTCCTGGTTCCTGAAATGCATAGAAGAAATAGTATGGCCAATGTTCTTGCAGTATATCAGGCTTGAAATGAACCGAGCGGAGAATGGCTAACTCTTTCGCCATGCTTGTCTCTGTCTCTGTGCTCTGTCTCTTCTTCGTCATCTAGTCGGGAATCCATTCGCAACTCTACTCCGTTTAAAGATCAGAATCATCTGCACAAGGGGTCTTATCTTAGGTACCCCCAGCTTTGCTTTTTTTAATCACAGATTTAGCTTGTTAGCACCTAGATGCCTCATATACCGCTTGCATTACCCAATTCCTTATGCAGTGGGATGTGTCCCTGGATCAAACCTTCAGCAGTATAACTGGAGCAGGGCTTATACTTCGCGTCGACCACCAGAGGACATAGCGAAGTAGAGACATCGATATAGCGAACGCCAGCATCCATCAGCGTTTGCCAGCGTCCAGGAGAGTGGAGAGTATGGGAAAGTAGGAGGATAACAGACGGGTGGATTAGGCGTCGTGAAATTGCGACGTGTGCAACCGCACAGTACAACTGCTAAAGCACGGAATCACTCAATCTCAATGTACAGCGTAGTGCAGTTGCACGGTGCGGCTGCACACGCCGCCACTACGACGCCAATCCAGCAGTCTGCTACCCTCCTACTATACCATACTCTCTATTTCTGGAAGGTGGTGGACGCTGGCGTATGCTCGAAACGCTAGCGGTCGCTGGTAGACGCTGCAGCAAGGTGTGAAGCAGCCTCACCATTAGCAGCAACTGATTCATTGGAAATATGGAATTCACGGAGACTCGGTCCAACAGCTACAGTGAATGTCGGTAAGAAGCCCCTCTCACGTTCTATTGAGCTACAGCGCATCAGCACAGTCCACATCATATGGACCTCTCATTTGCATAAATTTTTTCCAATGCACTAACTTCTTCGATTATTGACCGCAGTTGTAGGATCTCCTCCGTTTTCGAGGAAATTTGAGCCTGAAGTTCTGCTACCTCTTGCTGATAGGGTTGAAGATCTGGAAAAATCACGAAGCTATTGAGATGGCAGAAGGAGCGCTTAGCCAGATACCTCTTTCCTCATCAATCCGCGCAGTCTGTACAGAGAAGCACTGGGTGGTAGTGTGCACCATCGATACATCAAGACGGAACGATGATTCATTCAATGACTGCTCCCAAGCTGACAACTCCGACTGCAGTTTAGTTACGCTATCCACTGTCTCTGAAGAGAACGACAAGCACTAATAACCAGATGGAATGAGTAAACGTAGAATGAATAATCAGTACCGTCGATTGCGTCCATAAATACACGCTTTTCCTCCATAGCAATGTTCCACTCAAATTTCATAGCACGTATCTTCTCCGCTAAGCTTCTCATTTCATCTGTTCCGGATCCAAGCTGGAAACAGCGGCACGAGTGAAACAGTTGAAATAAGGAAACAAAAACAAAAGGTGTATACTGACGACTTCCAAGATGTCCTCGAACAAAACTCCAGACGATCTAAGATTCTCAAACACGCGTTGCATTACATCACGTAGAGAAACTAGTTTCACCTGAATACCTCAGAAATTCGGAAACGAAGAAGAGGGAAAAACCAGCTAGCATATATTCTTCGCCGGCAGCTGTTATATAAAGGACCTTGAAACCAGCGATGTCCTTTGAAGTGTTCATGGAGCGGTTCATGAGCTCCAAAATTGAAGCGTTCATCTGAAATATAAAAATTAATAACAATCAAATGTATAAGAAGGCAATCTGTATCTGCGGCAGGAGAAAAAAACCGCCCGTCCAGTTATCAAAATTTTCTTCCTTTCAAACCCTTCAAGTGAAGGCCAAAGAATCATGAAAGATCGCGGACATACCGCAGACATGTCAGTAGTGCCAAAGGGGTCAGTTCTATGCCGTGAGACGTCAACTTGACCAGGACTCGCGAGTTCTTCAGCCACGACAGCACCATCGCTCTTTTGCTCAGCTGGGTCATCATCTGCTACACCTGCAATTCCTGCTCGTTACTATTTGCTTCATGACCATTAAGCTGACTAGCAGTAGCAATGAATTCGCGGCAAATTGGAATTGCTTAAGGGAAAGACTGCTCTAGTCGCGCTCCAACCCACGCCTCATCACTGGCTCCCGTTGACACGATGAACGACTATACGGTTGCGTATCGGGGATATAAGATGCGGTGAGGAGGCGCTCCAGTGGTTTCACTTCTGCGGAGATCGCTCTAGAACATATCTCCTGTGCTCCTGTTGACCACTGAGTTGCTTGAGCGGGCGCCCAGTAATCGTCTTTATTCGTCCATGCAACGTGCTAGAAATGCCCAATTTCCTTGTGCTCGAGAAACAAGGTGAACATCAAACCAATCACTCAAAGCTTTCACGAAGTTTGACAATTGCGTAGGCGGTTGACGAAGTGTTCGCCTGGCATCCCGTAGAATCCAGTCGGCAATCACACAGGTCCGGCGGTCATCCAGGAGTATCGCTCTTTCGACGACACACTGAATGACGCAGACCGGACCGCATATTCATCCTGCTCTCGCACAGTCAAGTCTCCGAGGCGGAGGTTAAAGCAGGAAAAGTGCGGAATCGAAGAGAAGGGCATGGAGCCTTGTATTCTTCGTATCCTCCACTACTCCAATGTTTTTGGAAGCTCCATTCGCTCCCTCCTGCTCAGCTGTATTGCTAGGTCGTTTATAATGTTGGTTTTCCGACCCAGACTCACATTGCAGAACATTAAGTGTTCGCTCCATTGAGCGAGAACAGGGCGCAGCATCTTCGAAACACATAAAGGGGTCGTACTTTTCGCTGGGGAGGGGGGTCGTATTTGGTCGTTGTTGGGAGAAGGAGGTCGTATGTGGCCTCGAGAGAAATTGCCGCGTTGGGTGGAAATTTTCCTCGGTTGCTGACTTTTCGCGCGGTGTTCCCTGTTCATGTGGACTATTTACCCCTCCCCCCTCCGCTCGACACCACTCGACACCGAAAGTTCTGCGTAAATGTAGGAGAATTTTCAGGAAATTCCGAAAAAGTGGTAGGAAGTTGAGTGTGAAATTTTCCCGTTGGACACTGGCTATACTATACCCCCCCGCCCTTACGCTCAACGGAAAATCTCCTAGTGAAAAAGGAGAAAAAGCGGCAAATTGGTATTAGGTTTGTCCGGAAAGTTTTGAGAAAATTTCACACTTTTAGTTTGAAGAAGTGTAGCAAGCGAATGCCCCAACAGAAAGTCATATATCAAGTGCTATGAGAAAGAGAAATGTTTGTAGATCAATACTAATGCTGGTTGGTATTATTCTCCATTGTTGGTATGATTTGACATTACCTGAAAAATGTACGAGCGCGCACGACTCCCAACGCCTTTTACTTCATCTTCACCGTTCTGGCTCCTCTATCGGTCAAATCGGGAATGAGGAACCGTCTCCGATGCTGGATGAAATGCGCTTCAAAATTATCTATACTAGGAGATCAATCGGTCTCTTCCATGGAAGTTTAGCTTACAAGGGAACCCCAACAGGTCGATCCGGCCATTTACAATGAGATGTATACGTATGGACGTGTCTTGAGCCGCTGAATCCGAATCTGCCCTCCGATTTTGCGGAACGATTCTCTGAAGGGAGTTACGGACCATTTAATCTTTGCTGTGTTTGCACAAGCTGACCAGGAAAGGCCAACACGTCAGCCCGGCCATTTGCAACGAAATGTACATCATTGTACTCATCTTGCCACGATGAACACAAGACTATCTTTAAAATTTGCGGAACGATTCTCTGAGCGGAGTTGTGAGGTTTTTCTTTATTGCTTTTCTTCTTCCGGGCGCGCCAGCGCCAAAGCGTTAGCACCTGTAGCGCAACTCACAGCGCAAAACAGGTATCATATTCGTGTTCAGGGGGTCAAATAACCCCTAGAGACGTCACCCCAGCGGAATCCGAGGTTCTAACTCATTTTCGAGAAAATGGGTTATGAATAGCTGTGGCTGACTGATAGCCAAAGCGATACTACGACTACCATACTGATGATGACTGGTTTTTGAAATACCTCTTCATGTGCCTTTTCGCAAAGACATTACCCGGCTTACTTATTCTTGCCGTTTGCATCATCGTCCTCTTTACCACGAGGTAGTTCCATCTCGAGACCATTCACCAACGGTAGGTGAGCTCCCCTATGCTTTCGATTACCCATGAAACAGCACACATTTTCCAAGTTAGGTGGAAATATCAGATTCGGCTAGAAATTTGTCCCCAGGGGTAGTTTGACCCGCTGAACATGAATATGATGGTATTTCATTGCAAAAACCCTTGTGACATGTGGTTATCCTCATAATAAAAAAGTTTTCAAGAGGAACCCTACATGGGGAATCGCCCGCCTTTCGTTGGCAACTAATCAAGAAATTAGGCGAAATGGCCAAATAGAAATTTCGGAGGGCTCATACCAAGTGTTTTGAATGAAAAGCAAAAGATTTCGATAGCCAAGGATTCCAACATTCGACCTCGTGTCTCTGAAGCAATGCACTTATCCACTAGGCCATCGGCGGCTTGCCGCATGCAGTTATCCTTCTCAACTTGAGCAAACGGAGCTAAGATTAAATGGTCCGTAACTCCCTTTGGAGAATCGTTCCGCAAAATCGGAGGGCAGATTTGGATTCGGCGGCTCAAGACACGTCCATATTTATACATCTCACTGCAAATGGCCGGATCGACCTGTTGGGGTTCCCTTGTTGAGACTGCGTACGCCCCTCAGTCTCAGTACTCGCTTAGTTCTAGCTCCCACGCAAGGTAATCCCGCCCAAAAGTAAGGGGCATCTGGGGGCCCTATCTCTTATTGTTGTTGATAGAAATTGGATGTGCTGGTTGAAATTTCTCAAAACTTTCCGGACACCCTAATAGGTAGCAGGTGAGGAGGAGCGGAGGGGTCGTACCAAAACCCTCCCTCCCTCCCTCGAAAGGGGGGGGGGGTAAACTGGCACCACCATTTCACACATCACGATGCTGTTTCCTGAGCGAGAAGCCAAGGAGACGGTGGTCCAATTCCGCATAGAGTTCCTCTGCAGAGTTCACAAAATTTCATTACCAATCAAAATATTTTCGAAACTTTTTGAGAAGAGCCTTTCAAACGATGAAAACAACCATCGCATTAAAATTTCTGACTCAACTGAAAAATATGACCAACAGTTGCCCACCTATGTCCTTCAGTATGTTGATAACACTCTCGTCGAAATTTGCAACGTTGTTAGTCAATGCTTTGAGGTTTTCCAGTATTTCTTGCTGCTGAAATTACCTACTTAGTATCTAAACACCATGTAGAAGAGTTGATCAGCCGCCCAACTACCGAAAGGTATGTAAAAATACAAGCGTAAATCCGTACATGAGCGATAAGAAGAAAACAAGACCTTTCTTCTGTTGAAGACTGATAGCAGAAACATTAAGTGTGCTACAGATGCAAAATCGCCTTCAGCATCTCTAGCCCAGCTCAGTCCAGTCCTTCATGAGGACACACAGATTGCACAGATTCGTATCAAAAAGTACCTTTTTTTCAAAATCTTCGGCAAATAGACGACTTTTTTCAACGATCGCACCAGAATTGCTCACGTTTCGATCTAAAGAGACCACATTGGTTCGAAAATTCAATGAGTAAATGCAACATACCCATCGTTCCAGGCGTACGACACGGAGTTGATTCAAGGCTCAACCCGCTGTGATCATCAAGACCCAGGAGCAATGTGCACTCTTTACGCAACTCTTTGTTTTGTTTCCCCAGAGCTCGTAGAACATCCCGTATTTTCTCTACCTAGAATAGAGCATACTACATCGGTAGCTTCTACATTATTCCACGGAAAAAGCTAGGCCAAGCAACTCAATCAAGCAAAAGCATGGATCAGCTATCACAACGCTACCTTGCCACAATTCTTCCAAAGAAAAAAAAACGGAAAAATTTGATGCTTAGTACGGATACGAAACTCGCGAAATAGTGGGAACCCAACAATTCATGGTCTTTTTCTCGATTAGGACGTAGAAGAAGGGGAAGGGCATCCAAAAGGCGCCAACGAAGACCAATTCCAAGAAAAACTGGACCTGAAGAAAACTCAAGCATCCTTACCAGCATCAGCACTTCTTCTTTGTTCTTGGCAGAAACGGACAAATCACTGAAAGAAAGGTTCGCTTTCCGGATCTTTTTCTCCAAAGTGTGACATCGAGTCATGTAAGCCTGTACAATAGCAATCGTAGTATGTATCGAAAAAATACAAATTTTTCCAATGGAAAGAAAACGAACCACTAGAACAGAACTAGTCTTGTTGCGCTCCTCTTCTTCAGCGCGCAGGCATGCCTCCAAGTGGTCAATTCGTTGAAGAAGAGCATCCACATCGCACCCTCCACCCACTGTGAACGTCTGCAAAACTGTTCTATGGAAAACAGCACAAATCAGTCATATTCCAAAATATATAAAAAAAAACTCAACTTGCTCTGTGACGTCGTCTCGCCAAATGCAGCAACTTTTTCGTCGAGTTCTTTCTTCTGTTCTTCAATTTTCTGACGGAGCGTTTTGTTCTCACTTTCTAGTGAAGCGAGTCGTTTTCGTAGTTCTTCCGAAACTCTATGATTGTACACAATTAGCTTCAAGATGATATGAAAGCTAAGAGAGATTTTTTCCGGCAGTAGACAAAAGTCCACATCACTCAGGAGGAACACTACAGCGACTAGGATGACATCCGTTGCTTGCATTTGGATTCAACCTATTAAGAAAGGTGGCAACAGATTAGAACATCCGCCATGGGAGCCTTTCATCACCTCTTTAACAACTAAGGCTAGATATCAAATGCACTTGTACAATAGAAAAACCTCAGATTACATAAGATTTGCTCCTACTTATATATCTTTCCACTAGGCTGCGTTCATACTTTGCAGCAGCGTCCGGCAGCGTCAATGACTAGGAAAGCGTAGACATCGGTCAGGCAAACGCCAGCGTTTACCAGAGTCCAAGAGTAGAGAGCATGGGGAAGTAGGAGGGCAGCAGACAGCTGGATTAAGCGTCGTGAAACCGCGATGTGTGCAAAAGCACGGTACAACTGCATCACAGAACTGTGCAATTTGACGCACAGTATTGCGTAGTTGATGGTGTGGTTACACGCGCCGCAATTACATGACGCCTAGTCCAGCTGTCGCTACCCTCCAACTTTCCCAGACTCTCTACTCCTGGACGTGGACGTGGAGTTCGCTAGATCGATATTTATACTTATCTAGTCGCTGGCGCTGACGTACGCTCGAAACGCTGCCGTACGATGACACAAAGTATGAGCGCAGCCTATGTGGATGATAAATCACAGAAGCAGAAGCAGAACCAAACTCACATATCGCCCTCCGAACGTATGGTCCAGTCGCTGTCTTCGCCCTTCAAGCCATCGATACTTGTAGGAAATTCCTCCAACTTAGCAATCTCTGCCTCCAACTGTTTAATTCGCTCCTCGTACTGAAAATGAAAGCAAAAAGTCAACCAGTGACAACAGTAGTTCTTATGCTACGTACTTGCTGTATTGTAGCTTGACTTTTCTTCTCAGAGATTTCCTTCTCATGCAGTTGTCTCTCCAGAACCTCGATCTTCGTTCTAGCTCGAACCTCCATGCTTTCGATCTCAAGGTTGAACTGCCGTTTTTCTTCCGCTATTTGCTTCCTCTCTCCTTCCAAATCAAACTTTGCCATTTGTAGTGAGTAGTACTGAAATCACTGACATCACAGCGATCGTACTCACACACCCGAATTGAGTTTATGTTCCTAAACTTTAGCTGCTCCCCTGCTATTTTACTTCCTTGCGGCAGGTTGCTCTCGAGAAACATTGAACTTTTTTGCAACAGTGTAATATACTTGTCCATGGCTCCCTCTGCTGTATGGACTAACGTCTGTCGTTTGGTGCTTAGTAAAGGCCGACCAGTCGTCTTTACGCTCAAAGAAGTGGACAATCACCTTCGTCTATCCTGGTCTTTGGTGTGTGTGGAGAGAAGGAGGTACAGCGCACTAGCGTACCACTTTCTCCCTTCAAAAGTGCACGGTAGGTGCTGGAGGGTAGCGGTATCCTGATGCCGTCGCTGTTCTTCGCACGAGCAGCGGCACTCGCCTGATCATAGCCAAACGCGCTGGTAGACTGCACCTTCTCATTCCTGGTTGTTATCTCCGTGTCGTTGCGGCATCAACACTGCTTGTGCTGCACCTTGAGGATGCATAGAGACGATACTCGGATACCACTACCGTACAGCTAGTTCCGCACACCTGAACGTAGAAAGTTGTACGCTACTAAGCTGCGGACCCATTCCACCCACATGGTAAAGACCGTTCTCGAAGGTGAGAGCACATTTTGCCTTCAAAGAGAACCTGTTGGACAAACTGGCTTCCGTTTGAGCTAATGTTGTTTCCTTTGTTATTAGGTACTCTTAACTGATTTAAGTAACAAATCAGGTTCCCTAGGAAGCTTCCCTGCCTCTAACAGTATCTGATAGCCAGCGAAGAGTGTATTCTATTCGTGTACGAATCGCCCCCACCCATCGGATATGTTACTTTATGATATGCACGAATAACCCAGATGAACTTTCTTGCCTCTCGCGAAAGTAAGCTCCTAATGCAATGAGGTACTAAAAGAGCCATATCAGGCCACGTTCACAGTTTGCGTCAGCGACCGTTAGCGTCCACCAGCGTTTCAGGCGTACGCCAGCGCGAGCGACTAGGAAAGTATAGACACCGATCTAGGAAACACCAACCTTTTGCGCGTAGCTTTGCTCAAGTTCAGAAATGCCCGCGAAAACGCTGCTGTACGATGGTAGACGCTGGCGTTCGCTATATCGATACCTATATTTTCCTAGTCGCTAGAACTGTAGTATACTCGAACAGCTGGCGGACGCTGACAAATTATGAATGCAGCCTCACCGTACCATCAAACCACAATAACTGTAGAAAACAATTGCAAAATGGGAGCAGAGCACAACAATACACGTACCTCCTCTAAGATGTCCTGCACTTCTCGTGTCTGAAGAGAAGTTAGCTCTGCCACTTTGTACTGTTCAACATTGAGTTTACTCTGGAAAAAAGAAGAGATCAAAAGGTAGCACAAATCTTTTCTCCACCATACCTTTAGTACGGCTATTTCCTCTCTAAGATACTTATTCTCCTCGAGTGTTTGTGAAAGGGGCACTTTCTGAGGGCGAGGCGGTTTGCTCGAATGGCCACTAATATTTCCGGTAGACATATCTAAAAGGAAGAAATTTTGTAAACAGTAAATGAAACGAAATAAAATCGCTCTAGACATACTCAGGCGAGAGCTTCTTGTCGGTGGTGTATTGAAGGGTAGCGCGGGCTGTGACAAGGAAAGACGGCCGATAGCCGACTCTACGCTATGCAAATCTGACTCCGTTGTAGCAGCTGGTGTACTCACTCCTTCCAGTGTAGAACTACCAGCAGTACTGAAAAAAAGAAACAGTGAGCATGAATCAAAGGAGGAGTTCTCGCAACAAATCTTTGGGAATAAGTTATTATGGATAAGTGACTGGATCAGGTCTGAGAGTCCAGATCGCAAAGGCAATTAGGTGGTCTCATAATGCGGATTAGTGATCTTAAGCCATAGAACTTGCGATCATGAATGAGGGCATTACCGGATCCTCCAAGCAACATCACACAATCCTACTCTATATAATCCGCTACGTTTAGCTGTTAGTGTGTGCGTGTGTGTTCACAACTTCCTTCAACTGAGCTCTAGAGAATTCAACTTTGGAAGTAGTATAGAGGTGAGATGGAGTCATTATCAGTGGGTGAAAAGAAGTGACAAGAGTTTATAGGAGGTTTTAGAAAGGAAGGGCCACCAAGTGCATGGTGCAGATTTAACAGTGGGTCGTTGGCATGAGAAGAGAGGCCCAAAGACATTGCCTGCGTGCAAGGAAGCATTAGTGAAGAGTTGATTCCAGAAAGTGATGAATGAGGCGGAAGGAGACACTGATGATTGTTCATAGATATGTAGTCATGTAGTGATCAGTTAGTACTGATAAGGGCCAGACTTTGTTTCGCTTTTTGCACTTCTGACCACTGCCCTGCGATCATTATAGCTCACGATTGAATGCCTGGTGAAATTCTCTCTGGTTAGAACCGATTTAACCGCTAAACTGCCGAGTTTCGACAAAAAGTAAATGCTAGGTGGCGTTTGCCAGTGAAGAGTGATAAGAAATGAACCTGTGAAATCACTCTATCACATCTGCGAAAGCCTTCATATTCATTTCAACCCTGTTACCATTGAAACGTTTTCGATAAAGCGTTCATGTTTGAAAAGAATGTAGTTGCATTTAGAAGCGTGATAAGCAATGGTCACTGAATACTACTAGCGGTGAATGAGGAGATAAAAATCGGGTTTCGAGAACAGAACTTAAAAGCACTACTCGCGATAAACTAAGGCTATAATCTCTTAATGCGTCAAGTGATCCTAAGGCGATTGTAGAGGCTATAGTACATTCAAAAAAGAAAATTGCAAGAATTCTGGTAGAAGCTGAACAGTTAGGCCCATGAAACCCACCGGTGGCTACTACTTACTAAATATTAGCCCCTCTACAACACTTCCATACCGAATGATGACAGAGAGATGATAAGGGAAATGAGCTGTTATCGTTAATAACAACAAGTAGCTCTGCCATTAAGCCAAGCATCAAAGGTCAGTACAGACATTCTGTCAGCGATCAGTAGGAATCACCATGTAATGCGCGCAGTAGTACGCGTTAGCCAAACTGGTAATGTTTGATCTAGATTTTTAATGGATCTCGCAGTTACTCAAAGACTGATCAAAACATACACTTCCTGAATTAGTGTATTAGCAGATGCATCTCCGTCGCCATTTTCAATTCTTTCCTCTTCGAAACTACTCAAATCGCTTGTTATGTTCACACTTTTTTCATCACGCCAATTGAATTCCTCCATCTTTCACTGAAAAATTTATAAAATAGAAAATTTTTCAGAGAATCCACCATATTATCGCTTCTTGCAACATAGGCATGCTACTTGTAGAACTCTTTCGTGGAGTTGTCTGGTGGAAGATTTATTCAATCTAGGTCCAACATCTAGACCCTATCGCCGTCTTCACAGGCCAACAGTCCCACAATTTGGGCGGAAAGTCCGAAAAAGCCCTTTCTTGAAAAGAAAAACCTCAAATAATATAAAGAGATAGTGCGATAATCTCAGGCAGCGTGACTTGATTGTAAATAAAATTTACATTTAAGAGCTCTTGTGTGGCAGCGGATATTTTCCCGTGAACGGTGGGACTGTGTTTCCAGAGGAAACTCCTGGCCAAAACTGAATAAATGTCCTACCAAACAACTCGAAAAAGATGAGAAACACGAAACAAGTAAGAAAGCTGAAATGCGGTTATGAAGTTTCGACCATGAGTATATGAATGCCAAAAAAAATTTCATCATGTCAGGATATGAAAATGAAGAGTTGGCTGGCGCACACTGATGCGTGCATCATATGGGAAACCCTTCAAAGCGTGCCACCGACAGCCTCTCCTCACACTGTGCGCCTGACCCCCCCCCTCCTCCTGCCCTTTCGTAGAGCTACTGCCCCTCCTGAAATATGTTTTTTGTTCAGAAAACAAAAGAGAGATTATCTACCTTCCAACTCTTTTGAGTGAAGATTATTCTTGTTTCACCCTTTCACCCTCACTGCATGCCCCCACCGCCCCAACGACCTGGTAGTATAAAAGCTGTACGAAGAAGGACGACCGCGGCAGCGCCTCTTATCAGCTCCCATCAGTTGTTATCCCTTTCTGTCAACCATCAGGAATGTCCCCGTCACATCCTCTATCACCTGATGGAACCGATTTCGTAGTGTTCCTGTGAATCAGGCGACGCATGAGTATACTTCCCCTAATCAGGTCTTATTAACTGTTATCACTTTTCTCAACCGCCAGTAATGTTCCTGTCCCATGCCTGCATCATATCCTGGAACCAACAACCAATGCTGGGACCGGCGCTATGAATTTGGTGACCCACCTCTTCCAACACCCCTTATAGCATCTTGGGAACCACTATTACTTCCTTTCGTCCACCAACAATGTTCCCGTCATCCTCTTTATCAATTTGAAATCTCTACAGCAAAATCACTTTACGATCCCGCACCGGATCGCTCGATTGGACGCGCGATCGCGAAGTCTGAACGCGGACAAAGATAGTTTTGAATCTCCGGCCGCACACACCAACAGAAAAACATGACGGACTACAGCAAAATTTATGCTATCAAGCAGAATAGAAGTGCACTCGAAAAGAGGTAAGGCCACGTTCGTATCCCGCGACACACGAAAATTACAGAATCACCAGTTTGGGAGTGGCGGGAAATCCATGAAAAGGGGAGTATTATGGGGAACCAGAGAGTTCGCCAAGAGGACTGGATGCATATCGATCGAACTTCCATTGTCTGTCTACGTGGAGAACACGATTGAAGAATCGAACTCGATCGACACGCGTCAAATTTTCTTTTAAACATTTCGTCGTTGAGCAATCCCTCTGTGAAATAAGGCACGCATTCTCCATCCATTCAGAACCGTAACTGAATGCGACGTGACCTGTACAGTGGCTTGATGGGGCAGTCGATGTACAAGTCTGGATTCTCATCCTCCCGACCCTCCGGTACCAATATTCTCCGTGACTGAAGAAGGCATGACTGGGAGAAGCGATCCATGATTTGACCACCGAACCGTGCGGGTGGTAAGAACGCCACTTGCTACCAGGCCACCCTGCCTCAGCTTGAACTAATCCTTCAAAATACCGCAGTATTTCACACTAATTTCCATATTTTCCAGCCAGTGAATATGAGAAAGAGAAGCAGTGCTTTTTCATGAAAGGAGAACGATGACAATGTTAAATGGACAATGTTTACAGAACTTCTGCTAACCGGATTTCTGTCGCTGCTAGGTCCAAAGCTATTTTCTCATCGCATCTGACCTAGCATTTGAAATGTGGAAACACAAGGAAGATGTGAGAGAATGAAGGAACGAAAAGAATGGAGAAAAGAAAGGAAGGAGGACTCGATTTAAGAAATATCCTAAGACCGGAAGCAACAGTACCGACAGAATCAGAAACCACAGAAAAGAGTCACATAGTAAAACGAAAATATGAATATTTGAGTCTCACATCGTCAAATTTGATGGAAAATAGCAAATACTTAGAAAGGATAGGTCGTAACTCGAGAAAATGTTGACTTGCCGCCGGTAAAATTCAAAATACGAACAGTGCCGCCAAAAATTTGTGCGATGTTGCGTTGTCTAGAGAAAATCGTCTGATTGATCACAGGCCCCGCCCCTAACTGCGCGTTGCATCGCCCTCATTGTCCTTGCCGGCTATTCGGATACGATTGGGGTGCAGGGCACATCATTGGTTGAGGAATCCCCATAGGGGGGGGGGTCGTATTTGGCCGCCAGGAGAGGAGGGGGGTCGTAATGAGGGCGGTAGCCAGTATCGAGCAGCGCAAAGGTCTCAGTGTGCTGAGTCCAGAGTAGCGGAACTCGCTTTGTAGAGAACTCGGATATGTAAAAGAAATAGTAGAAAACTTTCAACCATCAATTAATCCGAAATAACTGAAATTATTATTATAATAAGTCGACATTATCTCGTAAGTCCGTTGATGACTGAACAGTACAACTCATACTCTGGTTCGTTGCGGATGGGGCGTGTCCGCGATTACGCTTGGCGCTGAGCCAACCTCTTTTTTCAACAAACGACAGGACTACCATATCGTTCGTATCAGACGTTTTCCAGCAGTTGGTCTCCTTTATCGGAATCAGCAATTGGCGGAGCACGAATCTGGCGGCGTCGACAGGACACGCATCATCATCATCATCGCAAGGGAAAACACTGTAAACAAGTGCACAGGGTTCGCCATAGATCTCCTGAATCCTATAGACACATTTGCTCGCGTGGACAGACATTACGCACAAATTGCACCATCCCTTCACCTCTGCGCGGACCTCAGTGCGCGGCGCATCCAAAGTCAGCGTGATCGGCGCTGGAACGAACCACTATTCTGCTGCACTGCTCCAACAGGATACGTTTTTCATGCTTCCTGGTTATTCGAACACGCTTACTTGAAACGGTACAGGAAACTGGTTTTTCGCGCAGCTGGGAGTGTTCCCCGAGAAATCCCCATCGCGACATCTCATGAATCCCGAGAACTTCAGAAACAGTTCAAGAGGTTTTTAGAAAGAGAAAATCTTCAAACACTCGAAACCGTTCTCAGATTTGTGAAATGTTGAGTTACAAAAAAATATATTGATTCAAACCTGTTCAGTTGAAATCACTCCCCAACGAATCCCCATGGCAGATTTCTCTGTGATTTTTGCGAGTTTCATAAACGTTGTACTTTTAGGAAGTGCAAACCTTCCTCTACACGAATACGGTCTCCTCTTCCCCACAGGTCCGCTTTTGAGGAAGTTATGGTCCTTCAAAGACACCCCACTTTGCTGAAAACTCGCGTTCCACATGGCTGGTCCTGCCCAGAATCCCTCCCCGGTACCTCGGCCTTTAATCAGCTGATTGCGGCTGGTTTGCTCTCGTTCGTATTTACTCTTTCGTATTTATCTTCTTCTCGGTTTATTCGAATATCGAATATTTATCTTCTTCTAGTTTACTCGAATACACGTCAGAGCGCGCCCCAGCAATTTTGACCGCTCAGAGTGCTCTTAGGAGGAATTGGCTTGATTTCCTGTTTTTTTTTCTTTTAATTGCAATTGATTTAGGTACCAGAGTTTGTTTTGACTCGAGGGAAGGTGGGTGAAACCTAATGGCCTTTCTTTTCTATTCTCTTTTCTGAATTAGGATAGAAATGAGCAAAAAGCGAGGGGGCCTCATTCAGGATTGTTACTTTTTCCATTTTTCGCGCTTACTTATACATAAACTTATGAAGTTTCTTCCTCCTCGGGGGGGGAGGGGAAGAAACTTCATAAGTTTATGTATGGGGGGTCGTACCGAAAAGAAGGGGTCGTACAGGCTCGACCAAAATCCCATCGAATGCTGTGCCCTGGAGGGGGGGGGGGGAAATCCATCGGTGGTATCAAGTGCATGTGAATGTTTTACTCAATAATCTAGGCATTATGCATAGTCTCGGCGAGGGAGAAGGGAGCGTTGCACCAACCGATGAGATTAGCCACATAGAGCATGTGCTTAGCGACCAGGGTCAAGCATCCGTTGAGGAATCCTCAGAGGTGTTGTATCTGACTTGCCGATTCAAAAAAGGTGCTACGTGCGAGACCGACTCAAAAACAGAACTAGTGAACTTGGCTTGCGTAGCTCGAGAAGGGGAGTCTGCCGTCCTTCGCCAAGTAAAATCCGTAAGACATGTGGATTGATACGTCTAGTGGAGCAGACTTCGAGGGACCATAAGCAGGCGCTTATTGCACCATTTTCAGGGGATGTGCCCTTATACCGCCCTATCACGCTGCAACATACCGACCCGGACACCCACCGCAACCGCCCGCCCACAAGTGGCCGCACAGCCACGACGACGCTGGTACTCTTCCTTCCATTTGTGGAGTGCAACTCACATGAAGCGCTGCTCTAGGATGCATAAACACAAACGTGTAGCCGTATCTACCGAAGCGGTTGCTGGCCCGATGCCAACGGGAAACTCGTCCAAAACGCTCGTCAATAGCCATGCAGAACAGAAGCTTCATTCGCAGGTTTCGGCCGTTTAACTTCGCCATTGTCGTTTTCCTCACCACACAGTACCCCTGCTACAATTTTAGAGCATGTACCAACTTATCACGCTTATACCTTTGAACCGAGCAGAAGATAGTCAGTCAAAGAAAAGCTGAAGGCATGAAGAAAAAAAGACGTTTACCACATCGTTTGTTTAATAAAACCATTGACATTTACATCGGCTGATCCGCGCAAGTCATTGTATAGGCCACATCGCATTCAATAAGCCACTAC